TCCCCAGAAACAATCCCATATGAAGCCAAGGTCTCTTCATCTCCAGTGAGGGCATCCTTGTTGTTCAATGTGATTGCAAACCGGGTATCGGAACTGCCAAGAAAGATGGATAAGGATTGTAAGAGCTACCTACCATGACCTGCTACCATTACCCTCAATTAATACACTTAGAACATATATAAGGTACACGGTATGATCTTGGAAGAATGAAGTAATGAAATCAAAACAAAAATAAGAAGGAAGCCAAAGTTTTGTAAAAACTATCCGAATTACTTGTTCTTATCACCAAATGCCTAGGTTACAGATTTCTAATGGCTACAATTCCAGCCCAGGGAGCAGGATATAGTAATTCTCTATCATTAACCCATGTTCCCACCAATTCTAAGGTACACACTTCACATCTTTTGTAATTCTGGTATCTCTGAAACGGGGGTGCTTCTTAAAACTGATGACACATCAAAGGGTAATTGCCGGCAACTTTTCCTCTAGTGTTACATAAAACAGTATGCACCTTAAGATTGATAAGATCTTAACTTAAGATTCAGTCAATGAAATATAGTCTTTTCAAAATACAAACTACGTCACATCATTGCTCTGCTGCAAATCCTCCAATGGCTTCTATTGAACTCGGAACAGAATCTCTAACATGGCCTCCGACGCCCACCATTTGAACCCTACCCACTTCTCCTACCTCATCTACCTCATCCCCTCAATCGCTGTTCTCCATCAATGCAAGCTTTCTATCCCTTCCTCAAAACAGATCAACCTCACTGCAGCCTCTGGGCCTCTGCATTTGCTCTTCCAGATCTTCCGAGGATGGACTCTCATCATCTGGGTCTCAATTCACGTGCCACTTCTTCCGAGATGCCTTCTGCCTAGCCTCCATCACTCTATTCCACTGTCATGTTTTATTTTTATTACTACATCACTATTTGAAAATTCCGTATTTATCATCTCTTCTCCACCCCCACTACAATTTAAGTTTCATAAGGTCAGTCATCTTGTCTATTTCAAAACTATTTCTCTCCAGCACTTGGCAAACAAAAGTATTTGTGGAATAAATGCAACCAACAAACAGTAGTTGGGAAGGTGATGAAAAGTGTAATCAGGGCTCCCTAGTCATTGTCTCAACAGAACTGTCAGCTTATGTCTGTTCCAAAATACTAGACCCATGTCCTAGATGAATATTCACAATCACAAGAAGATGAGTATGTAGAGGACGGAGTATGAATTCTCCCCTCCCACTGTTAAATACATGGTCACCTTTCTTACTGATGACCAGTTACGTATGAGGTCTTTTTTTTTTTTAAGATTTTATTTATTTATTTGACAGACAGAGTTCACAAGTAGGCAGAGAGGCAGGCAGAGAGAGAGAGCGGGGGAAGCAGGCTCCCCACTGAGCAGAGAGCCCGATGCGGGGCTCGATCCCAGGACCCTAAGATCATGACCTGAGCTGAAGGCAGAGGCTTAACCCACTGAGCCACTCAGGTACCCCAAGTATAATGCCTTTTATAATGAAAATAGCACAAATCCAAAAACCCACGGCTAAACAAGGTAAGAGCTCAAATCAGCCCGAAGCAACGAACTCTCCCTTCCATATCATAGCTCCTCTGATCTGAGAGAATAACCATCATTTCATCACATAGTGGTGAAAAGTAACTAGCAAACCAGTGCACATTTTATAAGGCGTTTACACTCAACAATGCTGACTTAACATTAACTTTTTGAGAGGTCAACCAAGGATGAAGTCTACTGAAAACCATGAATAAACGGGATTCTTGCAATGCTGCATTTTCGAAAATGCTCAAAGTAATTCTTTTTCTTTCACATGTTAAGACATTTTTTCTTACCAATTACGGTGTCTTTGTTGGAGAAACTGCCAAAGTTTTGCTTATTAGGAAATAAGCTGCTATGCTTCTGTTATCAAGGGTTTTCAAACCCTTTGAAAAATGTTGAAAATCTGCCAGATGCCCCAAAAAACACCATCCTAACAGATAAAGAGAAAAATGCCTCAAATGTACTGTGTGTTTATGGATCATCCGTCATAGCAAAAGGTTTTTTTTTTTTAACAGTACCTAACAAAATATTAATTCAAACATCTATCTGTAGAAAAGCTAAAGGATTATATGATGAATAAAAGTGTTGGCCTACTGTCCCCATTTAGAAAAACAGAAGAACTACTTCTAAAGTAACATACAAGGTCGCCTGGGTGGCTCAGTCATTAGGCGTCTGCCTTCAGCTCAGCTCATGATCCCAGGGTCCTAGGATGGAGTCCAGCATTGGGCTCCCTGCTTGGTGGGAAGCCTGCTTTCCCCACTCCCACTCCCCCTGCTTGTATTCCCTCTCTTGCTGTCTCTCTCTCTCAAATAAATAAATACAATCTTTAAGTAAATAAATAAAATTTTAAAAACAAAGTAACAGGGACGCCTGGGTGGCTCAGTTGGTTAAGCAGCTGCCTTCGGCTCAGGTCATGATCCCAGCGTCCTGGGATCGAGTCCCGCATCGGGCTCCTTGCTCATCGGGGAGCCTGCTTCTCCCTCTGCCTCTGCCTGCCGTTCTGTCTGCGTGTGCTCGCTCTCTCTCCCTCTCTCTCTCTCTCTCTCTCTGACAAATAAATAAATAAAATCTTTAAAAAACAACAACAACAAAAAAAAGTAACATACAGCTTTTCCGCAGAGGCATTAAAACTGGTTTTCTGAAACTAAAAAAAACATTTTAATTCATCAGAAAATGCCATTTTAGGGGCACCTGGGTGGCTCAGTGGGTTAAGCCTCTGACTTCAGCTCAGGTCATGATTTCAGGGTCCTGGGATCGACCCCCCCACCACAGCACTGGGCTCTCTGCTCAGCGGGGAGCCTGCCCCCCCCCACTGCCTCTCTGCCTACTTGTGATCTCTGTCAAATACATAAATAAATTCTTTAAATTAAAAAAAAGAAGAAAATGCCACTTTAGAAATACCAGGCCTTTTAAAAATATTTTATGTCAATCCCAGATGCACTTGCTCAGCGAAGACACTTTAAAAATTAAAACGGCCCATTTTTATAAATTGCAGGTACTTTCAGAAGAATGAATTTACTTTCAGAAGCTGAAGCTTACATTCCTTCCAGTTAACCAGCCTCAACTATAAAAACAAACTCAGGGGCGCCTGGGTGGCTCAGTGGGTTAAAGCCTCTGCCTTCAGCTCAGGTCATGATCTCAGGGTCTTGGGATCAAGCCCCAGGTCCAGCTCTCTGCTCAGTGGGGAGTCTGCTTCCCCCTACCCCTGTCTCTCTGTCTACTTGTGATCTCTGTCTGTCAAATAAATAAATAAAATCTTAAAAAAAAAAAAAAAAACTCAAAGAAGAAACTAACCTGGGCTCTTGTAAAGTCCTTTCAAGACTGCCCCTAATTTAAAAAGTAATATCAATAAAATATATATACAGATATACAAAAAAATCTTTTTTAAAAAGTTGCTTTTGAAGATTTATGGTGGGGTAATGGCCTCAGCATACAAAACGCTTAGGTTTAACATCAAAAATAACAAGAGGCATGTCACTTAATACAGCCCTTAACAGTGATGTCAATATCTCATTTTTAATTTGGAGACAAGTTTACTTTTAATATCGTGCCTTTACCTGAAAAATGAAAGGTGAGAAGTTCATAATATGACCTCATTTTACTCTATTCCCTAAAAATAAAGTCAAAGTATATAAAAGTCTCATAAAAAACGGTCCACTTAATTAACAGAAAGATTTTCTTTTGACGAATTCACCCAAAAAGCCCGAGACCGCCTTTTTCTGTTCTCTTAGTACCCTCAAATTCCAAATTCGCTACCTCAGTATGTGAAGAGGTCCGCCCTATGTCTGTCCCTCTACCCCCAGATTACTGTCCCCAGAAAATACTCTCTGTGGAAACAAAGCAGTCTCATTTGCAGTCCCATAAATTAATAGCGGAATCTGGTCCGTCGTTTGTCAACCTCACTGCCCCCAAACTGTAAGCCCTCCAGGGTCATCCCGTGGCCAACGTTTATCTTAGTTTTAGCAAAAAAGCAACAGCTCGCCAGGAAAATAAAAGGATCTGACCCACGCCGACATCTCGTACTGTGTAAAACTCTGCGGCGGGGAAGTCAAAGTGCTCCCCGCGGGCCGGGACCCCGCACACTCAGCGCAGCCTCAACATTACGGCGACCCCAGCAGCGGCCCCGCTCACAGGTGGCCTCGGATGGAGGACCGGTTTCTAACTTCTAGAACTTTCCTGACTTTTTCCCTGGGACACTGCGATAGCTGGTAACGGTAAACCTGAATCCCACAGGGCCTAGAAAGGTCGGCCCCCAGCCGAACCCCTGCGCCCCGCCCCGTCCCCGGTTTCCTCCGAGGCGGAAACGGAAGCGATGGCTCACCCTGCAAGGGAAGGGGGTCCCCCGGACGCCGGGCCATGTCCTCCGCGACCCGGGAGCCCGCGAGCTGCAGCCCTAGCGCCCGCGCCGCGCCCGACCTGCGCGCGTCGCAGTCCCCGGCACGCCCGACCCGCTACGCCCAGCTGGGGCCCGACCTCACGTGACCGCCCGCGGCGGGCGCGCGCTCCCGCGCACTGCTCCCGGGCCCGCGGCGCGCGGCCGCCGCGGCCTCCTACCTGAAGCCCCAAGTGGGGAGCAGGGCCTGGCTCAGGTGCGCGCGCAGCTGGCCCAGCGTCGGCTCCGCGTCTGGCATCTCGAGCGGCCAGGTCCGCTTCTGTAGCCGCACCCGGAGCTTCATGGTGGCAGCGGGAGGGCCCGAGGGCCCGGGGGCCCGGACCCGGAGGCGGCGACGGTGATGACCGCGCGGCGACGGGCCCCGAGCGGCGACTACGGGAGCCGCGGGGGTTATTGAGGACTACCGAGCGGCGACAAGGACCTACCACGGCCCCTGCCGGACGGTCTCTGTAACATGAGCGCCCCGCCCCTCTCTTGAGGGCGCCCCCTAGAGCCCACCCCTCGGGCGGGCAGCTGCCCAGCCAGGCCGCTTGGCGTCTTGTGATCGATGACTCGGCGCGCAACGGCTCCGCCTGGGAGTAAGAGGCGCACAGTGCGCAGGTGCCGAGACTGCTGCGGGTTGCGGGTGTCGAGGCTCTGGCGGCCATGGGGATTCTTCTGCGGCGGCTGTGCCGAGTCCTTCCAGGCGTGCTCGGAGAAAGTTAACGCCGAGAGAGAGGCTGCAGAATACGGGACTCGCCGCTCCGCAAGCCCCAGTGCCTGGTTCTTTACTCATTTCCTCCGCGGCGCTCAGCTCCAGCCGCAGGCATCTGCTCTGGAAGCCTTAGTTGAACCCAGGCTCCCCTAGTTTCCTCTTGTTACAGCAAAGTATGAAACAGCTTGTAGTCCCTGATCTATGTCGCAGAGTATAGTAGTAATCTGTTACATAGCAATCACCCCAAAGTTTAGCAGCTTGAAACAACACAGGTGAAGTGTCCCTCAGGTTCCGGACGTCAGGGATTTGGGCATGGCGTTGCTGGGTGGTTCTGTCTTGGTTTCTCCTGAGATTCCAGTCAAGATGTAGGCCAAGGCTGCAGCAGGCCGGACAACCTGCTTGCTGGATAGCTCACTCACCTGAGTGTCGGCGGGAGGCCTGTTTCTCACAGCATGGACCTCCCTACAGGGTGAATTGAGTGTCCCCATGACTTGGCATTTGGCTTCTCTCACAACACGTGGTCCCCAAGAGAGCAAAGCAGAAGCCACAGTGTCTTTTGTGATCAAGCCTCAGAAGTCACATACCATCACTACTGTTATTCCAGACAACCCTTCAGTGTGGGAGGATCAACCCAAACGTATGAATACCAATAGACAGGGAGCGCTGGGAGCCACCCGGGAGGCCGACTACCATGGAGAGTCTGACAATGCTGATAACGATTATAACTTAGATGAGAGAGAGGGAATCGTCAAATTTCATCCTTGTCCGAGAGCCACTGTCCAAATCATTATGAAGGAGTCCAATGGAGTTTCCTACCAGTAGGTGGCAGTACTGGTCCACTTCCTGATCTTCCTTGGGTAAATAAACATGTATTAAACACCTGCTTTGTGCTAGATATTATTCCAGGTGCTGGGGACGCAAAGAATGAGTGAATTCACAGTTGAGTGAATCAACTCTTGTAGTAGAGCATAGTGAGTTTTTTTTTGTTTGTTTGTTTATGACAGAGGTAAGAGCAATCCTGGGGACTGGTGTACACAGAGAAGGGTGGTTGTGCCAGTAGGATCCTTTAGTGGCAAGCAATCTGGGATTGAGGAAGGGTGGCAGGACCAGAGTGGCTCAGTGTGGCCAGAGGGAAGGGCAGAGTGGGTACATCTGAGATAAAGAAGAGTCTTGAGCTGGGCAAAGGATTCGAGACAATATTTTAGAATGCATGGGAAGGCAAGGGAGAGTTTTAAGCAGGGAATTTTTTTTAATATTTTATTTATTTATTTGACAGACAGTGATCACAAGTAGGCAGAGAGGCAGGCTGGGGGTGGGGGAGCAGGCTCCCTGCTGAGCAGAGAACCCGATGCGGGCCTTGATCCCAGGACCCTGAGATCATGACCTGAGCCGAAGGCAGAGGTTTAACCCACTGAGCCACCCAGGCGCCCCAAGCAGGGAATTCTTTATCAGGTTTCTTACTGCTGAGCCATAGAGACTAACTCTGGCTGACTAAGAAGAATTGGAACATGTTAAAAAGGGTACTGGGAATTCTGGGAAGGACTAAAGAAGTGGTTCCAGGCTAATTCAAGGAATGAAACTCAGAACCACGCCGAAGAACTGGCCTGATGAGGACACTATCCGGACTGACTGGGATTGCTGCTGTCACCCCACCCCGCCCTGGAGGAAACTGCTGTCACCCTGACAGGAACCACTGCGGAATGGCTACCACCTTCAAATGCCACACGGTTTTGCAGCCTCCCGCACCAACAAAATGCTTCCGAAAAGCTTCCGAAAGAACCTGTGTCCTCACCTTGCTCACTTCTAAATCAAAGGCTCGTAGGAAGGCATCTGACTGAGGGAGACGGGAGTTGCCTGAGTCCTGGCAGCAAAGGAGACTGAGACTGTGGGGTCTGAACTCCTTCCTTGGGAAGGCAAATGTCCCCGGATGTAGAAAGGTCATTCAAAAGACGGTAGGAAGCCATGAGTCCGACAGGTATACACCACAAGGGACATAGGTCAGATCTGAACTTTGAATCTATCACCTGTTGAGTGTAGCGGATATATTAGGTCAGGGTTCCTCAGCCTTGGCACTGATGACAGGTGGGGCTTCATGAGTGTTGGTTGTGGAGGACTATCCTAGGCCTTGCAGGATATTTAGCAGCATCTAAATCTACCAAATGCTACTAGAAACCTCTCCCCCGCAGTTGTAAAAAGCAAGAATGTCCTCAAACTTGGCCACATACTCCCTAGAGGGTGAAATTGCCTTGAAAAGCGCTGGATTAGGAACCAGCTTAGTTTGGAGGCTCTTTTGGTAACTGAGAGAAGAAAGGAATTAGTGGAATGACGGTAAGAATGGAGATGATGGGTGGGCAGAGATGATGTTACAGAAGTAGAAATAATAGAAATTGGAAAATGGCTATATTTGGAGGTCTTATTAGTTAGAATGTAGCTTCAGCTGCCTTAAGAAATATGAAATAATAGTGACCTAGACAAGATACATTTATTTCTCTCTGAGATACCACTCTTGGAGAAAGCAGTGCAAGGCTAATAACGATGGCCATCTTTGGAGACCACCTACCACAGTCTACCTCTCTGTACGATGTAAACCTGGATAAGTGACTATCTATAAAAATGAAAAGAGTTGGGCGCCTGGTGGCTCAGTGGGTTAAAGCCTCTGCCTTCGGCTTGGGTCATGATTCCAGGGTCCTGGGATCAAGTCCCACATTGGGCTCTCTGCTCAGCGGGGAGTCTGCTTCCCACCCCCACCCCCCTGCCTGCCTCTCTGCCTACTTGTGATATCTGTCTAAGAAATGAATAAAATCTTTTAAAAAAATACTTTATAAAAAAATGGAAAGTTAACAATGTATCAGACAGCTGTGTTGTAAAGATTAAGTGAGATAATACCTTTCTTGGTTTTTTGTTCTAAACCACTAAATTTTTTTTTCAGCGTAACAGTATTCATTGTTTTTGCACCACACCCAGTGCTCCATGCAATCCGTGTCCTCTCTAATACCCACCACCTGGTTCCCCCAACCTCCCACCCCCCGCCCCTTCAAAGCCCTCAGATTGTTTTTCAGAGTCCATAGTCTCTCATGCTAAACCGCTAAATTTGTGATAATTTGTTAAAGCAATAGATTTCTAATAGATTAGAAAACTAATCTAACCAGGATCCTTGTCTCAATCCTTTGCCCATTAGGCATAACCATCGGCATGGAAGAAGTCATCCAAACACAGGGGTTTAGAAGGGTCCTGGAAGAGAACCAGAACATCCACAAGGCACCACCAAGATTTAAGGTACTCTGGAGGTTAATCCTCCTAAACTTCAAAGATCCATGAAAACGTTATATACCTCTTCTCTCAACTATTTCTCTCCTTGAAAAAATTTTTTTAAATTTCTTGAAGGATGTCACTTTAATGTCTGCAAGCGACAGTTACTGTAACTCTCAAAGAGTTCCGAAAGTTAAATTTATTTTTTTAATGGACCATTTCATAGAATATGAAAAGGGACAATATCACTCTTCTATGGGAATACATACCCTCCCTGTAGACTTTTTTTTTTTTAAAAAACATTTTATTTTAAAATGGTTTTAGATTTATGGAACAATTTAAAGAATATACCACACACCCAAGTAACCCTATCAAGTAACATCTTAGATGAGTGTAGAACATTTATCAAAATGAATGAATTAATGTTGACATATTTGTATTAACCTAAGTCCATACTTTATTCAGATTCCCTCAGTTTTTTTCTTTATGTCCTTTTTCTGTTCCGAGATCCCATCCAGGACATCACATTACATTTAGTCATCATGTCTCCCTAGGCTCTTCTGGGCTACGACAGCTTCTTAGACTTTCCTTTTTTTAATGACCTTGACAGTTTTAATGATTATTGGTCAAGGATTTTGTAGAACATCCCTCAACTGGGATTTATCTGATGCTTTCTCATGATTAGACCGAGGTAACATGCTCCTGGGAAGAAGACCACTGAAGTCAAGGTACCATGCTCAGCACATCAACAGTGTAAACTGTCAGTATGACTTCTCGCTGCTGTTGTTAATCCTGATCACTTGGTTTCTCCACAGTAAGAGCACTCCTTATTTCTCCTTTTCATACCATAGCCTTTGGAAGAAAGTCACTATGTGCAGCCCACACTTAGAGTTTTAGATTTTAGGGGTGGAGTATCTATATAAATTATTTGCATTTCTTCTGTACAGGAGATTTGTCTATTCAATCCCTTATATCAGCGTGGACTTATATTTATTTTATACTTCTGCTTATAATCCAATACTGCTTCATTTATTTTGTTGCTCACGTTGTTCCAGCTTTGACCACTGGGAAATCTTTCCATTGGCTACTGTATCCATTTTACATTATTGTGGATTTTTGTTCATTTGTTCTGTTCTTTAGCACTTTCTTATTTTCTGGCACTGTAAGATGCTCTAGGATCATTTTGTATATATCCTTCCCCAACCCTAGAATCAACCATTTTTCCTAGGTACCCTAGTGCTTTTTACAGGAGAGTGGTATTAGAAACCATGATCTGGGTGCTAGCGGTGCTCATTGCTATTGAGGTGTTATTGATTCTAAGCCTTCTCAGCTGACAGAGCAGGAAGATACATGTATGTACACACTATTTCCATACATAACCATCTATTTCTATATTAAACTGAGCATGAGTTCATTCTGATGTTTCCAGCTCTAATCCATTACCACACCATCATTCTGTTCTCCTCTCTTGCTTATCTGTAACTTCCTAATCCAAATGTGACAAATCTAGCTCCCCCCATCCACCATCCATTTACTTAGTCATTCATTTCCAGCAGCTATGTGTCGTGGTTTCAGGATTCTCAACCCATACCCTTGTCAAAAACAACATTGTCAGCTGGAGTACGGTGCTTCAACAATAGCTCCTGCTGGCCTCCATCGTACAGCTTCCATTTGCTCCCAGAGCGACACCGGTCAGCACCTTGTTCTCCAATCCCCTTCACCAAGGTTGTTTCATACACTTGTAATGCATTTAGATTCTTTTCTCATATTCTGCATTCTGTCTTGGACCCCCTCAATCTCCTGTGTGATTTTTTTTTTAAGATTTTATTTATTTATTTGTCAGAGTGAGCACAGGCAGACAGAGTGGCAGGCAGAGGCAGATGGAGAAGCAGGCTCCCGCTGAGCAAGGAGCCCGATGTGGGACTCGATCCCAGGACGCTGGGATCATGACCTGAGCCGAAGGCAGCAACTTAACCAACTGAGCCACCCAGGCGTCCCTCCTGTGTGATTTTTTTAAAACTACGTACGTTAAGATTTATTCTGACCTGTAAAGTTCTATCAGTTTTGACAAATGCATAATGTCTTATTTCACTACCTTAAAAGTCCCCTGCCCTTCAACCTTCTCTTTACCAATTACCAATTACCAATCTCTTTACCATCTCTTTAGTTTTGCCTTTTCCAGAATGTCATATGACTGGAATTATTGTGTAACATTTTCTGGCTTCGTGACTAACTTCTTAGCAATATGCAGTTGAGATTAATCCATGCCTTCTTGCGGCTCCTGGCTCATTTCTTTGTAATGCTGAGTAACATCCCATTGTATGGATGTACTACAGTTTATCCATTTACCTATTGAAGGACATCTTGGATGCTTCCATTTGGGGGCAATTATGAATAGAACTGCTATAAACATTTGAGTTGGAGCAGGTTTTTACATGGACCTAAGTTTTCAAATCAATTGGATAAGTACCCAGAAACACCATTGCTGGATTGTATGGCAAGACTAGGATTAATTTTGTAGGAATCTGCCAAACTGTTTTCCAATATGGCTGTACCATTTTGCGTTCTCTTTAGCAATGAACGAGAGTTTCTGTTTCTCTACATCCTCACCACTGATATATATATCAGGTTGTTTTTGATTCTAGTCCTTCTAATAGATGTATCTCATTGCTTTAATTTGCAATTCTTTTTTTTAATTATTTATTTATTTATTTGACAGACAGAAATCACAAGTAGGCAAAGAGACAGGCAGAGAGAGAGAGGGAAGCATGCTCCCTGCCGAGCAAAGAGCCCGATGTGGGGCTCGATCCCATGACCGTGAGATCATGACTTGAGCTGAAGGCAGAGGTTTAACCCACTGAGCCACCCAGGTGCCCCTAATTTGCAATTCTTAATAACAATGTTGAGCATCTTTATGTATGTTTATTTGCCATCTATAGATCTTCTTCCGTGAGGTGTCTTCAAATCTCTTGCCCGCTTTTTAATTCTTTTTTTCCTTATTGTTGAGTTTGCTATAGTTTTCTGAATATAAATCAGATTTCTGTGCATGATAAAAACCCTTACTAGTCCAGCTGGAAATCACTTTCTTCAATTTTCCCAATGACCCCTGTAGACTACTCACACTGCCCCTCCTCCAGAATGCCTCTCCCCCTACTTTACATCCTCTCCCACCAAGTAAGTTTGTGTGCTCTTGTGCTTTTGCACATGCTGATCCTTCTGCCTGGAATACTTTCCTTTTCCTTCTTTCAAGGAAAGTATGTTGCTCCTTCCTTTTGTTCCAAGAGCACTTGGAACATGCTTTTCAATGTTATCCATCATATCATAGTACAATTATTTGCACATCAGGCTTTCTCCAGTCTTAGGTTATGAGTTTTTCAAGGGGAAAAGACAGGTCTTAATCCATCTTCAAAACATTCAGTCCCCACCTCCTTGTTAGGACTAATTAAGCAAAATTTAAAGTGGTATAAAGATATCCATTGTTATCTCTAAGTTTTTGATGTATCTGTTTGGAATTAAGATTTTCATTCTGTCTCTACCAAAGAAAGCCAGGTTGGCCTTCGTTTGAGTGTTTACTTAAATCCAATCCATTTTCCTGAATCTTGAGCTTTAATTTATACAGTTTTCTAATTTAGCAGGTCTTGAGAAGGGCTTGAGAATTTGCATTTCTAATGATTTCCAGGTAATGCCACTATGAAACCACACTTTGGGAACCACTGGTCTATACCATGTGGTCTTGCTGTGGTTGTTTTGGTTTTCTTAACACTTATAAAGTACTTTGAGGTATCTGCTATGATTGGTAAGAAATGGAAATGGACCTTAAAAAAAGTGTTGTGAAAGGAAATTCAAGCCGTACAAATTAGGAAAAGAATCTTCAGAAGTTGTTGAAATGATTAAAACCCTATCCAGGGTCCAAATGAAGATGTCTGAAATCTATTGAAAGAAAGAAAAATATTCTTGGAAAGCAAACTAGAAGCAGGCATACAGAAGACAGGGATAAGGGGTGGAAGGAGTATCAGGGATTTTCACAGCTCAATATGTAAACTTCAGTGTTGTTTGAATCTGTCACCAAGAGAGTGTATTCAAATATGTATTGAGTAAGTAAGAAAAATATTAGGAATAGTAGAATCTGACCCTCCAGAGGTGTGCCAGCTTCTACAGCAAGGTAGATAGAATATTTGAATATATTTTATTTTCTTGCTTCTCAACCAAGGCCTGTCCAAGGACATTAGCATAGTCTAGAGACATTTTTGTCACAACGAGGGTAGGAGAAAGTGGTGCTGCTAACATCACAGTAGAGGCAAGAGGTGCTGCAAAGTGTCCTACAAGGCATAGGACAGCCCCCACATCAAAGAATTACGCTGCCCAAAGTGTCAAAGCGTCGAGGTAGAGAAATTCTTGTCTGAACTGGGCTCACTCTGGTGGTTCTCAGACATTTCAGAATTGTATCACATTATCTTGCTTGCTTGGTTCCACAGTATCTCTCATGTCTTATAAAAGACATATGTATATTCATTTCAGATTTAACATGAATTTAAATTCAGTTTGAACTGCAAGTAATAAAATGTAACTCCCTTTTAGACAACTGATAATAAGTGAGGTAAATAAGTGGGTTTGTTTATTTTTCAAAACCAGGAGGGAATCCATGCTGTAAACTGTTGCAGAGAGTGACTAGCGGGAGAGCGAAGGTCTGGGTCAGTCGTCACAGGCATCAGGAGAGGGTGGCCTGGGACAGAGCTGGGAAGAGACGAGGAGATGCTGCCAGGGGACGGGGCAGTTCTGCCAGATGTCTCCTCAGGCGTCCAGAGTGAACCGCCGATCTCTCTTGAGAGCCACACCAATTCCAGACAGCTTCCTCTGGTGGAATAAGCTTGCAGCTTCAAACAAACACATCTATCTGTGTCACTCTTACAGATCCAGTTAGCGGCTTGGAAAACCAGATGTGTTGCCTATCAATAGCATCCTTCTCTCTCCTCACCTTCCACATCCCCTGTGGGCTGTGCGTTGCCCGTTAGCAACCTTCCTGAAGAGGCAGGATGGCATAGTGGTTAAGAGCACAGACTCTGGGAACCAGGACATCTGGGTCCTGAGTCCTGGCTCTACAACTTTAGCTGTGACACCTAAGCTTTGGCATATACCGAACCCCCTTCATTTTCTTACCCATAAAATTGAGATAATATTAGTACCTCATACCATCTTGGTGGGGAATTAATAAGATAATATATGGCTGGTGCCCAGAATATAACAAAAATGTTAGCTCTTCTTTTTCCCTACCTCTTATTCCCTCTTTGGGGTGTCCTTTTAACCAGATTTCACCAACACAAAATATTGGTTCTCCCCCCCACCAACGTATAGATGATCCCTGTCCCCTCTTATTCTCCTGCAAAGAATAATATAATTTGTCTTCCAAGCGCAAAAAACTCTGGTATTCAGATAGCTTTTGCTCTATATGGGAAGAGCCCAGACATTCTAGAAACCAAGAAGTAGGGTGCTCAGTTCCTTAACACTGGATCTTGACATTTTTCTTTAGTGAACAATTATTCTACCTAGTTAATTATGATGTTTCTTTGGAGTTTTAATTAAAGGTGTCCCTTGATCTGTAGAGACTAACATGCTGTCAGCCATTAGTAAGTAAATAATTAATCTTGCCTTCTAAATTGCCACTGTGGGTAGGCTGGATAAGCAGGAATTCCCAGCACATTTTCTCAGTTAAATCTGAAAAACTAAAATAAATAGTGACCCTGGACATAGTGCTACTGGCTTGTGATGTGATGAAGGATTCAGCAAATTTGTCTTAAAGCCACTTGTTGAGCAGAAAGGACACTAAGGAGCTGAAATCTCAGGCCCTTTCTAAATGAAATAAAAACAGACTATCTGCCCTCTCTTCTTCCACCTTCGTTTCCTAAACTCAAACTATTTGGGCCTTTTTTTTTTCTAGAATTATTCCATGTCCCACCAGAGCTGCACCATTATTTACTTTCCCCATAAATCAGTCCACTTCTTAAATTGTATGTACATTGGTTTAGGGGTGCCTGGGTGGCTCAGTTGGTTGTGTCTGACTCTTGATTTTGGCTCAGGTCATGATCTCAGGGTCATGAGATTGAGCCCTGCGTCAGGTTCCACGCTCAGCACAGAGGCTGCTTAAGATTCTCTCTCCCCCTCTCCCTCTGCCCCTCTCTCTCACTTCTCTCTCTCCCTCTCTAAAAAAATTATAATTTTTAAAAGCTGTATGTACATTTGTTTAAAGGGGGAAGCTATATTAAGAGAAAACTTATTAATTTCCAAATAGAGGGTAAATGTAAAAAATAAATACCATGGAAACTAAACTCTGAATGTTTAAGATAAAAATAGAGAAACATAATGATGCATCTTATTAATACTGTATGAAAAACTATGTGTTAGCTCATTCAGCTTCATTCTCTCAGTGACTCTAGATGGCAGAGACCCACAAATGGAGCAAATTGCCCAGGGTCCCAGGTGGGGAGGGGAGGGCAGGACAGGTCCAGCACTGCAGGACGGAGTCGAGTTCACTTTCTCCAGGCCACCTTTCCTGAGAACTCCCCTCAAATCCCGTGCCAGATGCCCCAGGATAGACAACAGTGATTCAGGTTTCCACCAAGACTTTCAGGTTTTCCAGTACAAAAGGAAAAATTAATATCTGCTTCAGGAAAAATACTGCTGTTTTAACGATCAGCTTCTCTGTAAGTCTAGCAGATCCTATGCATCTGGTTAATGGATGGGAGAGGCAAATGGGGGCTGAGAGGATGGGGATCTTACTGACGGAGAAAAGGTATGGGGCAGTAGGGGAGGGTAGGCGAGCAGGGGAGGAAGTTAGGGCCAAGCCGCTGCTCTGGGCAGGAGAGATGGGGGGCAGGGTGCGAAACTGATACTGCCACCCAGGGAAGATTCTGAGGAAAGGACAGAAATATTTGGGGTACTTTGTGAATTTTGTCCACGTGATCTGTGATGTCATTCCTCTGCTTCCATGTCTAGTTGTGTATTCTTTTCCCTCATACACTAAAAACACTAAAACAATGACAATCAAGTGTTTCTCCGTCAAGCACCTAAAATCATCCCGCAGCCCTCAGTAGCCCTTACACCATGAGAAACTGCTCCATGTGCACCTGCCAACTTCTGGGCTTTCATTTTACATGGTGATTTATTTATTTTTCTTTTTAATAGAATCTTTTTATTGTATTACATTAGTCACCATACAGTACATCATTAATTTTTGATGCAGTGTTCCAAGATTCATTGTTTATGCACCATACCCAGTGCTCCATGCAATATGTACCCTCCTTAATACCCACCACCAGGCTAACCCACCCCCCTCACCCTCCTCCCCTCCAAATCCCTCAGTTTGTTTCCCAAAATCCACAGTCTCTCATGGTTCGTCTCCCACTCTGATTCCCTTCCCTCCCCTTTTCTTTCCTTCTCCTAATGTCCTCCATGTTATTCCTTATGCTCCACAAGTAAGTGAAACCATATGATAATATACTTTCTCTGCTGGACTTATTTCCCTCAGCATAATCTCCTCCAGTCCCCGTCCATGTTGATACAAAAGTTGGGTATTCATCCTTTCTGACAGCTGAGTAATATTCTGTTGCATTTTTGGACCACATGATGATTTAGAAATTCACATTTCCAGCCAAGGTTTCCCCAGAACTCCAGCTCCCCACCAGACCCTGCTGTTCAGATGCCTAATGCCTGTATGTCTCTCCTTCATACAGTACAGCGGTCTGTACCTGTATTCCCTTCAGAGCTCGGATCTCAGCTCCAGTATACCGCCTCAGAGAAGCCTTCCTGGGCCATCCCCCAAGGGAGCATGGCCTCCTCCAGTGACAGCACCCTGTCCATTACAAGACCACACCAACACGGTCCCTTGTTTCCTTCATAGCATATGACACAATCTCTACCTTTTTATTCATTTTGCTGCTTGCTTGTTTGTTTTATAGCCTCATCTAATCAACTCCATGTGGACAGGGAATCTGTCTTTTTTACTGAAGAGGTCCTTGCCCAATATTTGTGGACTGAATGAGGGGAATCTGTAATGACTGACAATAAATGATTCAATGAAGAAAGTGTCTTCAGGCTTGTGTCACCATTGGTAAGGCCACATACCAATGAATAAAATTTTACAGCATTTTTCAGTTTTAAGAGCAAATTCTTCCAGGTTATGGCTATGGTCTGAATGTTTGCATCCCTCCAAAATTCACATGTTGAAATCCTAATCCCAAAGGTGATGGTATCTGCGGGCGGGGCCTTTACGAGGTGCTCAAGTCACGAAGGTGGAATCCTCATGAATGGGACAGATGCCGTGTAAAAGAGGCTCCAGAGAGATCCCTGGCTCCTGCCACTGTGTGAGGACACAGCCAGAAGGCGCTGGCTGTGAACCAGGAAGATGTGATCATGCAGGCTCCTTAATCTTGGACTTCCTGCCTCCAGAACAGTGAGCAGTGTCTGTTGTTTGTACACGATAGCAGCCCCAACCGGCTGATGTTCAACTTCTTTTTTTCCACCAGATCCTATCAAGGTAGATACTATTTTTTTAAAAGATTTTATTTATTTATTTGTCAGGGAGAGAAAGAGCACAAGCAGGCAAAGTGGCAGGCAGAGGCAGAGAGAGAAGCAGGCTCCCCACTGAGCAAGGAACCCAATGCGGGACTCGATCCCAGGACCCCGGGATTGTGACCTGAGCCCAAGGCAGTGACTTAACTGACTGAGCCACCCAGGCGTCCCAAGGTAGATACTATTTTTTATCCCCATTTTGCCCGTAAGGAAGCACAAGTTAAATAGGTAAATATAACGGGAGGCGCCCGGGGTCAGAGACCCAAAGAGCTCTCAGGAGTGCGGACAATGCCAAATGAGCGTGCCTGCTGTTCTTAGTGTTACCAGTCTCCTGTTCCCAGGACTGTTCTGGTTTAAGTACTGGAAATCCTGCTTCCTGAGAAAATCAAGACAGTGGATCACCCTATCTTACCCAGAAAACTGTAAATCAGACCTTAGATACTTCATGCCATCAGATCCCTGGCCATGTAAAATGTGAAGACTAAAGCGTGGGGGGATGGGAGGGCAGACAGGGTTTAGAACCTACCGGTGTGAAGTCATGTCAGAGCTGAGGCGCCCACCCAACCGAACCTCAAAGAAATGCTGACAGCGGAAGGCACTAACAGCCTGAAAAGGAACAGGCACTTAGAGATACCATCTGCGCGCTGCTCCTACCCTGAAAGATAAAGGTAGTAACTAGGTCAGCCCAGTTATCAAGCCTCATGCTTTCAGACTGAATCTGATCCACCAAAAGTCCCAAAAGGTATTCTGGGCAGTGGTGGGGCCATTTACTGCAGGCACCCTGACCAGGAGAAACTGGCCTATTATCCCAGAAAGGAAAATTCTTCATCTTCCAACTCAGTCCAACTTGACACCATTTTAAGTACATTGGATGACTTGAGTTAATCATTCTGGTAACGTCGTCATAATTGTGTGTGTGTGTGTGTGTGTGTTACAGGGAGTAATCACTGCATGGGTGGCACTGTCTGCTCATCTAGGTAGAAGCTGTAGTGTTCATTCATGCTATTGGGCAACTGAAGTGTAGCAATCGTGTATCACATTTTGAAAGAGGCATTTAAAAAAATCCACCACTAGATGATTCACACTTAATTATCTTGTCTTTTCAGCAGCTGAGTTCAAGGCTCAAGTGGAGAACACATAGCTTCAGAGGCAGAAGGAGTCGAAGGTGCTCTCCAGCTTTGAACACTTCCCCTACTTGAGGTAAGAATCATGAACAAACTTTTGGTCTCTGCCAGTGCAAAATCTCCCGGTTAGGGATTACCCTTCCGCTGGTGACGCCCCAGCTCAGTGAGCTGTCATGTAGCCTGAGTCTTTGCTGTCTGCCTAGGGTTTTCTGTTTTGTTTTTGTCCTTTGTGTCACTCATGCCCACCCAGAAGGTTCTGAGAAGGTCTGAGAAAGAATAGAGAGTTGGTATGGACATGTGATTGACATTTGCTTCGTTCAGCAACGTTAAGACGGTCCCTCAATCTTCTGGACTTATGTTTACCTTCATTTCAAGGGGGAACCCAGCTCAGTGGCAGAAAATTCTAACTTGTCTCTAAGTCAAACCAGTGTGGATCTAGGAAGAAGGGGCTGCTCTGATCTCTGTGTTTGGGGCCAGGTCTTAAACCACATCAAGTGACCTACATCCTGCCAGAGCAAAGGGCCCTCCCACTCGCAGGAATTGTTTAACCTGTTTGTGTTAAGTATGGAGTTTGGGGAAGACTCGGTGTAAATTTTTAATGACCTTGTCATTTGAGATCTTGGTAAAAATCAGATGTGTGAGCTGAATCCCTTGAAACAGCCCCCAGTTCTACCCATATTCTATACCTGTTGATTTAGACTCCTTCTACACATTTTGTCATAACAATTAGGTTGGAATAGTCTCGTAGTCCTGGCGTCTTTAAACCAACTGGACTTAATTTTTCAACCTTTGCCCCTGTTTTAAAGGCTGCATTTCATTCATTTATCACCTGCGTTAACTGATCTTCCCAAAGTCTGTCTGGTATTCACCATTGCAAATACCAATGGCACGTCGACCTGTCTCAGGAATTTCCCAAGTTATACTAGAGTGGTCTTATTTCTGGTCATCAGAATGGTTCAGGCAAGGGCCACCTGACACATGTATGTTTTTATATATTAAGTTTTTATTTTAATTCTAGCTAGTTAACCTACAGTGTAATATTAGTTTCCGGTGTACAAAATAGTGATTCAGCACTTTCCTCTAACACCCAGTGCTCCTCAGGACAAGTGCCTTCCTTACTCCCCATCACCTGTTTCATGCACACTCCCCCCGACCTCCTCTGGTGACCATCAGTTTGTTCTCCATGGTTAAGAGTCTGTTTCTTGGTTTACCTCTCTCTCTTTTTCCCTTGCTCAGTTGTTTTGTTTCTTAAATTCCACATATGAGTGAAATCATATGGTATTTGTCTTTCTCTGACTGATTTATTTCACTTAGCATAATACTATCCAGCTCCATCCATCTTGTTACAAACAGCAAGATTTCATTCTTTTTTGTGGCTGAATGAAATTCCATTGTGTGTGTGTGTATGTGTTTGTATCACACTTTCTTCATCCATTCATCTGTCAATGGATACTCGTCTGTTTCTATAGTTTGGCTATTGTAAACAATGCTGCTATAAACATAGGGGTGCATGTTTCTCTTCGAATTAGTGTTCTTGTATTTTGGGGCTAAATGCCCAGTAGTGCAATTACTGAATCATATGGTAATTCTATTTTAAACTATTTGAGGAACCTCCATACCGTTTTCCACAGTGACTGCACCGGTTTGCATTCCCAAAAGTGCATAAAGATTCCTTTGCCTCCACATCCCTTGCCAACACTTATTGTTTCTTGTATCATTGATTTTAGCCATTATGACAGGTGTGAGGTAATATCTCACTGTAATTTTGATTTGCATTTCCCTGATGATAAGTTATGTTGAACATCTTTTCATGTGTTTTGTGGGGTGTCTGGATGTCTCCTTGGGAGAAATGTCTGTTCATGTCTCCTGCCTATTTTTAAATTGGATTATTGTAAGGTTTTGGGGTGTTGAGTTGTATAAGGTCTTTACGTATTTAGGATACTAACCCTTTACTGCATATGTCATTGGCAAGTATCTTCTGCCATTCCATAGGCTGCCTTTTAGTTTTGTTGATTGTTCCCTTCATGGTGCAGAAGATTTTTATTTTGATGAAGTCCCAATAATTTACTTTTGCTTTTGTTGCCCTTGCCTCAAGAGACAAAACTAGAAAAAATTGTTGTTATGCAGAGCCATCTAATTTAGAAGGGTTATTCTGTCCATTTATTGGTATGGAAATGTAATGACTTCTGAGGCTTTGAATCGTGGAAGAAACAATTCCTTAGACACAACAAAATAGGTAACTTGTGGGCAGGGTTTTTAAGTCATCTTGGATCCCTCCTTTTCATAGGCAACTCATCCTGCCCTTACTTGTCAGCCAAATTACTTAACCTTTTAGGACTCACCTCCTTGCTTGACAAGGTTCGTTCCCTCCTCTGCCTATAAATTATCATCCTAACAAACAATTCAGCCGAAAGTTACATGCAATCCTTTTATAGCCCCGTAATTTCATTCACTCATAAAATTTCTAGAGGAAAAATGTGTTTTTCTATGTGCAATTTTGAGTTCCTGGATCTCCATCAGTGTAGACCATTTCAGATACTCCCTTTACTGAAGAAGGGAAAATAGACTTTTGCTGCTGGAAGGACATTAAAATTCCATTTGTGCCCAAGAAAATACAAAAGGATTTGCACTTTGACACTTGAAAATCTCCAGATGCTTCCTGATTTTTTTTTTCCACATAGAAGATGGCATCAGGCATCTCCTAATGTTCCCAGAAGAAAATGAAAAATCTAGCACTTATCAAGCAATTAAATTCATAAACACTAGAATTGGGAACCAGAAGAGCAAGGTATGGTTCCCAGGTGCCTGACTTACCGTGTGGTCTCGGACAGGACATTCAGACTCTCCAAGTCTCTGTGTTCACATGCCTGAGAGGGAGGCAGGATTATAGTAACATCTGCCTCCAAGGAGGATTGTGAGTTGTGTAAATGGTAAGAGTGTGTGTGTGTGTGTGTATAAATTCATTATTTTACTTGTTACTCCATTAACAGGAAATAGCTCTGCTCTGGTTTTTATGCTTTTTCACTGTAGAAATGGAGAGTTATTTTTATGATGGTTTGGTTTTCTCCCCTATTTTCACACTCTTCTAGAACCTTTCTTAGTTAGCCAGAATCTTGTAACCCAGTCAGTTGGTCAGTTAGCAAATACTTACTGAGATCCTAGTTACATGCCGGCAGAGAGATCACGTCAACCTTAATTGCAATATACAGTCTAATGTGTACAAACTTTTTGGTCTAATTTTTTTCCCACCACATTGCATTGCTATGAAAATATTTTCCTCTTTAAAAAAAAGAAAATCTCTCTCATGCCTGCCTTGGCCTGACACATCATTTACAATTCTTTGCCCACAGCAATGTCAGTGTGAATGCACATCCGTATGGCTTCACCATTTGTTAAAATGTGGACATACTTTTATATCAGCTGTGAATAGCCACGAATCTCAGCCCCAGGAGTGTTTCCCTGACTCCCATAGTCTCATCCATCTCTGCCTATCCCCTTCTCCAGGACCCCTTGACCACCCACCCCCCAAACCCAGAATAACAAGGACCAAGGAGGGCCTAGCACAGATGGCAACTGGCCCTAGCTTCTACATCCATTCTGAGTGTAAGATGTTAGTATCACCCGGCCCCTTGCTTGCTTGTCCCACTCCTCACGTTTCCTCACTCAGATCACCTGCTGCCCTACCAGAGACAGGTCTCCTACTCAAGCCCCGCCCCCTTGGCTCTTATTGTCATTGCTCCGTGCTTCCCTTGATGTTCTCTGCACCCGACCATCCCCAAGCCACCACTCCATAGCCCTGCCCCCAGCACTGCCCAGGTTCTTTCTGCACATTGTCCAGTATAACCCAGACCAACTCTGTAGGGCTGAAACAGCATACTGAATGCTAAGACCACAGCAGTGTTAAGATATTAAAATGCCCCCATTTCTTTTTTTTTTTTTAAGATTTATTTATTTGACAGACAGAGATCATAAGTAGGCAGAGAAGCAGGCAGAGAGAGAGGAGGAAGCAGGCTCCCTGCTGAGCAGAGAGCCCAATGTGGGGCTCGATCCCAGGACCCTGGGATCATGACCTGAGCCGAAAACAGAGGCTTTAACCCACTGAGCCACCCAGGTGCCCCAAAATGCCCCCATTTCTAATAGTAAATAGTCAATACTCTGAGTCTCCCACCCCATCCCCAGTACCCCAGCCACACTGGCCAGTCCTCCCAAGACTTCTCCTGTCCCCATGATCCAGTACCTAACCTCCCCAATGCTGCTTCTGGACTGTGGCCCACATCTGTTCTAATGGGTGCATGCACTCCACTAATGTACAAAAGCTTTGTGAATCACCTCTGCAAAGAACTGTAATATAATGCAGAGGGAGGGGCGCCTGGGTGGCTCAGTGGGTTAGCCTCTGCTTTCGGCTCAGGTCATGATCCCAGGGTCCTGGGATCGAGCCCTGCATCAGGTTCTCTGCTCGGTGGGGAGCCCGCTTTCCTCCCCCCACCCCGCCTGCCTCTCTGCCTCCTTGTGATCTCTCTCTCTGCCAAATAAATAATAAAATCTTTTTAAAAATAATAATAATGCAGAGCGAAGTAAGGGTTCTTCCTTAATTTATGATTTATTGAGTCATTCTACCAATAATTATCAGTCACTCTATGTTTGAGACACTAAGCCAGGCTCTAGGGCCTCCAAACTAAATGAGGTCTCTGCCGTCATGGCACCTACGTTCTCACAGAGGAGACAGACAGCACGTGAGAAAATAAATATAAACACATGAATAAGTATCTGTTTTGACCAAGGATTCAGAAGGAAATATGATTAACTTAGGGAAGGCTGTATTTAAAATGAACCTTAAGGAGGTGCAGGGTGTCTGCAGGCCCAGGTGAAGATGAACAGCATAAGCACAGGCTTTAGTCAGGAAGCGTGGTGAGTGTTTAGGGACCAGGATTCCAGTTGGTCTGGACAGAGGGCTCCTGGGAGATCAGACGAGAAATGTAAGCAAGTTGACTGACCCAGCCACTCCTCACACCTGAAGGTGGATGGATACACCACCAAACAGACAAGTCAAGACCCCAAGTCTCAGCCTCATGGCCCTCCAGCAAAATACCCACATGAACATTCACTAATCTGTACATAAGTCCCCTGTATAAATTGGGCGATGTGTATACTAGACAAAATGCAAAACAGCCCATGGGGTGCCTGGGTGGCTCAGTGGGTTAAGTGTCCTACTCTTGGTTTGGGCTCAGGCCATGATCTCAGGGTTATAGGATCCCGAATCCTGTGTCAAGCTCCACACTCTTTCTTTCTCCCTCCCTCTCTCTCAAAAATAAATAAATAAACGAAATCTAAATATTTTTAAAAAATGCTAGCCCAATGGGTGAGTAGGGCAGCCCTTGCTTTCCCTACCAAGCTGGGCACACTGGTATGGGATTTTTAAGAGTCCCGTGCTCTACCAACTGATCTAGCCGGGCACATGGTATGGGATTTTTAAAAAAACATTTTCTGCTTGCCCCACTTTGTGCTAGAAGGCTGGTATATCTCCAAAGGGAACTTTTTCCCGTTCCACACAGAAGGCCAAGATAGGCTAGCAACAGCCCTGCACGGATACTCCTCTCCCTGGTCAGACTGTTCTGTTCCTCTCAAGTAAATTCTCTGGAACAGCCCTTTGTCTACACATTCCATTCCTATCTCTATGGCCTTATCCATAAAGCCCACACAACCCCCTTTTTCAAACCTCTTTCTTTTTTTGGCCAAGCACTCCATACACACCTCTTGAAATGATTGTTTCCTTCATCCAGACTACTCCTGAGTCCCAGCCTTTCTTTGAATCCTTCCCTGCCCACCTGGCCTGACCCCTCCCTTTGCACAGCTCCCACAACTTCCTCTTCCTTCATCACCCCCACAAATAGTTCCCTGATCTGTTTCATGTTTGTATGTTAACTCAGTGGGAATCTGTCACCTGTGGGTCTTTGACACGTATGAACGCAGCGATGGTAGCTCACCCAGATTGTAAGCTGCCAGAACTAGGAACAAGGCCTGTGAACATATTACTCACTCGCCTGTCATTAAAAGAAACCCGTGTCACCGTTGCTATTGGTAACCTGTGCTTCATTCATCAAGAAAATGGGCTGAGGGGCAGAGGGGTGTATCCAACCAAGAGTATCCAACTCTTGATCTGGGCTCAGGTCTCAGCCTGAGGGTCGTAAGTTCAAGCCCCATATTGGCCTCCATGCTGGGTGTGGAGCCTACTTGAAAGAAAGGAAGGAAGGAGGGATGGAAGGAAGGAAAGTAGGAAGGAAGAAAGGGAAAGAAAATAGACTGCCATTAATTCATTGAGTCCATTCATTTAACAAGTATACACTGAATATTTAACATATGCCAAGCACCAGCAATATAACAGCAAAAATAAAAAAGATGTGTTCCCTCTCCTTGGAGATGTTTATTTAAGATTTTGTATATGTGTATCTATGCAGGCCAGGCATTGTACTAGATTCTGGGGTGAGCCTGGCATGTGTGTTAAAGAAGGAAGTCTTTGAGGAGGTATAAGTGTAGAGCAGGGCAAGGCCTTGCCACTGGGCTGCGAGCTTAAACCCTGTCCTGTGGGCAAAGGGGAGTCATTAAGGGTCTCTAAGCAGATGACTGATTGTTTCACATTCCCTAAAGCCACCTTTCTAAACTACCGACTCGTGTTCTGAAATGGTCTAAAATCCCACATCCCCATCCCTTATCCTTCCCAAGACATATCACCAGTGTTACTTTTACAGTAAGTCTCTTGTGTTGCATTGCATTGTATTGTATTATCCTGAGTCATAATCATCTGTGTGTGTGTCTGACTCACCCACTAATCTGTGAGAAACAGAAGCCAAGGACACACAGAGGTCATCTCTGCATCCTCAGCACCTAGCACATGTTCTGGTGTGTTCAATAAATGATTACTGGATAGGTGGATGGATGGATTGATGGTTGGATGGATGGTTGGATGGATGGATGGATATATGGACTGATGGGTGGATAGAGTAAGTTCTGGCCATGAGCAATGAATAAGAAATCATAGAAAACTGTATGGAATTGACCAATGAAAAGTCAAAAATAGTAAAGGAACCATAAATGTTGGTTAATTGCAGATGCATACAAAGGCAGTCCAACTCCTCTGGGGATGTTTCTTCCTGTGGAATCTCTACATCTCATCCGCCCAGGCCGTTTACCCTGGCATCAAGGCCAGGGTTACTCAGCAGGCTCTGGACTATGGTAAGTCAAGGGCTTCCAGAAGCCAGGCTACAGCCCCCCAGGTGGAGTTTATATGAGTTCCAAGCTCATATTGGACTGTCTCATGACTGAGGCAAGCTCTCCTGTAGAATGATATGGAGACTGCTAAGACAGCTGGGAAGGAAGTCTTGTCCAAAAAACAATCACCTTGCTGGTAGGTCTGTCCAAACTTGACTGCAGATACTCATTCTCTCCCCACCCCCTACCCCCTGTACCCCCTCATGCACATACAACGAACATCTATGCTGTAAAGAAGGATACATCATAGTCTAGAGGGGAGGAGATGGGAGAGTGAAAGTAACATCTTAGAACTTCAGAAAGGGCTTAATTCCAAAAGGAACTAAAAATCCCCTAAAATTGTGCGCCAAGTTTAATATAGATGATGATTGGGGATTTTTCTTGAGAGAGGCTCCATATTTTCATTACATGCAAAAAGGAGCCCGGGACACTGAAAGATTAAGTAAAACTCCTTTAGAGGTGTTTATAAACATGGGGAGAGAAAAATGTTTAGCAGAGCTGGGGTGAGGGCAGATTGTGTATGGGAAAGGAACTGCAAAATCAAAGTGTGTGGGCCCAATTCTATTCTATAAATCTTGGCCCAAGATTAGCTGACTACAGGCAGATAGATTCACTTCGATCCTTCTTAACTAAAGCAGTCAGCCCAAGTACTGCTAGTCTAACTCAGAAACTCCTAAGTGTGACCAGGAAACACCTCACCTGCTGTACCAAAAAAGAAACACAGGAAGGATAGAGGGAAGGAAGGGAGGGGAGGAAGAAGGAAAGATTGAGTTTTGGGCAACTCCTTGTCCTTCCCCCAGTACTTCATCTGGAACAACGAATCTAAGGTTAATCCATGTTGCACAATTGCCGTATGAGCTGGCTATATACTGAGAAATACATGCCAGGAATGTATGTCAGTATCTACATGTCTATATGCATGTGTGTGTGTGTGTGTGTGTATCTTGTTACTGTACTGATATACTCATGTGCGCAGAAATACGGATCAGAAATAGAAATCTTGCAACGTTATTGAAGTTGTGAGAAGAGTTTATTCCACTCTCAAGATCAGAGCAATTAAAAAAACAGATCTAATCAGTTCCCACGGGATGGGTCTCAATTCTGCCCCTTGCAGGGTTGGCCCAGTGGGTTTCTCATCTGGAAAACAGGGAGAATGACAATAATGGTGCCCCCCTGTCATGATGTGAGGACCAGATGGGATCATCTGTAGAGATATGGCGTGGGGTGGTGGAGAAGGACAGGCTTTATTTTTTTCTTGAGATTTTATTTATTCATCTGACAGAGAGGGAGAGAGCACAGGTAAGGGGAGCAGCAAGCAGAGGGAGAAGCAAGCTCCCCGCTGAGCAAGGAGCCTGATGCGGGGCTCAATCCCAGGACTCTGGAATCATGACCTGAGCTGAAGGCCGACACCTAACCTACTGAGCCATCCAGGCGCCCAGGAAAGGACAGGCTGTAAAGTCAGAACCATGTCCTAGTCGAATATCTATCATGGCCGAGCCTCATGGGCTCTGGTTTGATTTAATTCCCACAACAACTCTACAAGAAGAGATAGTCATTTTATGGGGGAGGGATCTGAGGCTCAGAGGAGCTGGACCGAATCTGCCACATCACATACTAGGAAGGAGGCAAGGCAGGATCGGAGCTCAGGTCCGCTCTGCCTGATGTCAAAACCCATGTTCTGTTCTCTGCTCCACGTTCCTCCAGAGCCTCGCTGATGACACGCGGTAGCTGTGAGCTCTGGGACAAGCCTATGAATCTCTCTCACCCTCAGCTGCATCCTTTGTGAAATAGGAATAATAATGTCTCTGTCACTGGGGTGCTCTGAGGATCAAGGGACAGAATATGTGTAGTGCGTAGACAGGCTTCGTGCGCACAGGCACACGATTATTGTGATCTCACGACAGTGTTGGGATTCGAAACTAAGCTGTCTGCTAGTGCCTTTGCTTCCATCTTTATATCCTTTATATCCTGTCCCTGCATCCCTGTATTATAGTATTATTCATGGTATTCTGGAGGATAAGATCTGCTCTGAATCTCCACGGGGACAGCCTAAGTGGAAATGAGCCTAAGCCACAAAATGAGGGGTAAAGGCAAAGCTTCCTCCTTAAAAGGCTGAAATGAAAAGATCGTTCTTCATTACTGTGTCAGTTACTTTTCTCAAGCTCTTTATGTGAAAGGGGGCTCCTTTTCTCCATGAACTCGGAAAAATGTGTCCTGTGGTGGTACCATGTAAAGACAGATTTATTCCTGAATTGCACAAAAGCGGGGCTTAATAATGTTTTTGGAGTCCTGGGATCCTTTGATAATCTGATGTGAACGTGGACCTTCTCCACTGAAAAATGAGACACAGATGACATGCACATACATATCCTACTCACAGCCTTTTACTAGGATTTCAGGAGGGTTAAGAGTGCCCAACAGTCCACTTACCTCAGGCCAAAAATAGCTAAGCTGAAAGAATCTAGAGGAGGGGCGCCTGGGTGGCTCAGTCAGTTGGGCTGCCTTCAGCTCAGGTTGTGATTTCAGGGTCCTGGGATCAAGCCCTGCTTCAGGCTCCCTGTCCAGTGGGGAGTCTTCTTCTCCCTCTGCCCCTCCCCCCACTCATGCTCCCTTTCTCTCTCTTTCTAATAAATAGATAAAACCTTTTTAAAAAATAAAGAATCTGGGGCGCCTGGGTGGCTCAGTGGGTTAAAGCCTCTGCTTTCAGCTCAGGTCATGATCCCAAGGTCCTGGGATCGAGCCCCGCGTCGGGCTCTCTGCTCAGCGGGGAGCCTGCTTCCTTCCTCTCTCTGCCTACTTGTGATCTCTGTCAAATAAATAAATAAAATCTTTTAAAAAAAAATAAAATAAAAATAAAAATAAAGAATCTAGGGGAAAGGAGAGAATGTGGAATAACTTTCTAATAAGGCAAGAATTCTGGAGCCAAATCACCCAGATTTGACTATGGGACCCCAGGTTTTTGCTGTGTGACTTAGGTGAGAATTCATCTCTTTGGGGTTCGGTCTGTTCATACATAAAATGTGGATAATGGTAATATTTTGTGCTTCTCCTATCACAGCGCCCTGCAGTAGAACCCTTTAGCTTTGGCCCCATAATGAGAATCTCTCATGCTGTTAGGTCTGGGGTCCTGGGGTCTTCATTAGCCTCTCTGAGGATCAGTGCTTTCATCTGTGAAACTGGGACAGTAGCACCCACTCTTAGGGTTGCTGCTTTCTAAGTTTCTAAGAGCGGGCCTTACTCAGTAAACCTCGCATGTATGTTTACGGTAGTAAGCCACTGTCTCTTCATCATTATCAGTAAATGCTCTCTTTCCTTCATAGGTGTTCTAGCTGGGATGGAGATGATTGAGCAAATGGTTAAGGAAAAAAATATCCCAGACCTAGAAGGTTCTGAATCTCTGGAATTTCTGAAGGTTGATTATGTGAACTACAATTTTTCAAAGTAAGTAGAAGAGTATTTTTAGCAAGTGAAATTATTCTTTAAAACCTTCAGGTTGTGGCTATGCCCCCTTGGTGTTCTGGTGTAACACCAGGGACGTGCAGTGTAGAATTTAACCCATCTTTGGTAAGGGGCTTATCAGGTGAGTGACATTAAGAAAGAGGGGTCACAAAGCTGACAAAGAGTGGAGGATTGGGGTCAGAACACCTGGGTCCAAGTCCTACCCCTACTGCACACTAGTTGTGGCACTTGGTGAATCTGCTCAGAGTCTCGATTTCCTTGCCTCTTTCCTAAAAGGAGAACTCCTTGCTCCTTGAATAAGAAGAGAAATTTTTACCCATCCCGTTGCTGCCTCCACCCCTTAAACCTAGATACAGGATTCAGTCACAGTCTCAAAACCAAATCTATCCTCAGCAAGGCTTCCCTTACTTTAGCGGTACATAGTTGAGATATCAGAGGTTATAGAAATGGGCCACAAATAAGGAGGTCGAAAGAAAGAGTAGAGTGTGGTTCATTCGGTTAAGTGTCTGACTCTTGATCTCCATTCAGGTCTTGATCTCAGTCCTACATTAAAAAAAAAAAAAAGAAAGAAAGAAAAAGAAAGGATAGAGGGATCCTATGGAAGCCCCACAATTTTATCTGAACCCAGCCTTTTTGTATTTCTCTGCCCCACCACCCTCAGTTCTGGCTTCTGTCCTCACGTTTGTCTCATGGCTCAGTATGGCCACTGCAGCTCAGCCATCAAACCCATATTCCAGTCCCAAGAAGAAATAAGAGGACTCAATAATGGATGGATTTTACTTAGTCTTATGACCATACTTATTAGTATTAGCCAGAGAGACTGGAAAAATTCATTTTCCAAGCACATATCTTTGTCATCCTGAACAAATTCAGGGATTCAGAAGAAGGAGGAATGGATGTTCAGATAGCAGTTGGCAGTCGTAGTTGCCAACAAAAGCCCCAAAGCACGATTCAGGGAGAGAACATCATTGTCAGTTTCAGCTCAATCTTGAAGGTAAAGCAGAGTCGGGATTTTATAAGGAATTATCTGTGATTCACAATTTGCCCCCAAGGCTTTATCAATCCAGTGATAATTCCCTGCTGCTCTAACCCTTTGGAGTAATACTTTCCCTGTTATCAAGGGTAACATTCTATAAAACCGTGAGTTTTTTGGAAGGGTTGGGGGGATGGGGAGAAGAATGTGATCTAGGAAAAGCTCCTAGCAAATGCTCTAGTTGCTAATAGAGGCGGCCATTCAACAAGTATTTATTGAGTACCTACTAGGTACCAAGGCTTTGTTTTAAGCATAGGGGATATTGTAGTGAGGAACACAGATATCCCCTGCCCTTAATGTCCAATAAGAGAGATGGACATAATATGTTTACAAAATGAATTATTTAGTTACAGTGACGATAATGCCCCAGCAGAAAAATCCAGAGTTAAACATGTGTTATGATTTGTAGGTGAAGATTGCTAATGAGAGTAGAGAAACTGGTACAATACTCTTTGACCTGTGCTGCCCACACAGGAGCCACTGGGCATGTGACTACTGGGCATTGGAAATGGGAGTAGTGCAACTGAGGCAGTGAAGCTTTACTTATTTAATTTTAATTAATTTAAAAATAAAAAATGGTACTCAAGTCAATTATTGAAAAACTTTTAGGTATGCATGGAACAATTTGAGTATGGAAATGCACTTCTTCGGTTGACAATTTTATCCAATCCAAATATAGGGCAAGGATTTCTGATGAAATTCAATGTCCAGACTGAGTCATATTATAAATGTAAAAAAAAAAAAAAGACCATATGTTGAAGACTTATTTTGAAAAAGAGAAAACAAAATATCCCATCAATAATTTTTATATTGATTATGTGTTGAAATGATACTATTTTAGATATATTGGGTTAAGTAAAAAATATTAATAAAATCACTCTCACCTGTTTTTTTCCCTTTTTTAAATGTGGTTACTAGATTTTTAATTATATATGTGGCTCATATACCATTTCTATTAGAGCTATTTACAAGGACTTTTTTTTTAATGCATGCCCTTCAACCTACCAATCCCACTTCTCAGCATCCTTACTAGAAAGACACACACATGAACAGCATGTTTGAGGATGTTCAGTATGGCATTGTTTATAACACAGAAATAGCTGGAAATGACCTAGATGTCCAGCAAAAATAAATTATTTTCTTTAATGATATATCCATAGCTTGACTACAAAGAATGCATTAGACCTATACATATCAAACTGAAAATATTTCCAAGATCTGTTAAATGAATGTCTACCATCTTCTCCCCATAGTGGACTCAGAGTGTATGACAAAGACATGTAGGAAAGGATGCAAAGTAGAAGAAATAGTAAATAAGCATTTGTGATCAGCTATCCCATTTATGTTTTACGTTTTTCTTAATCTTAGTTCATAAGGATGCCTTCCTCCCATACCACAGTTATAAGCAGATGATCTCATTTTGTCTTCTCGACGTACCCATGAGTAACCCTTCCTCTGGGTGACTAACTGAAAGAGATTAGTGTCTTACCCAGGGTTGCACGGCTAGCACAAAACTCAGCTCCAAGTCAAGGGCCCCTTGCATAATACGTGAAGTGGCATAGCCTACTGGCTAGGAACCGTCTGAGACAGATGGAGGAGGGCTCCAGGTCTGGTTCTACCACTTATATATGACTTCAGCCACGTTCCTTATCTTCTCATCTCTGGATTGCAGATTGCAAAACCAGCATCAAACTCATGGGATTATTGTGGGGATTAAAATGAGCTAATGCATGTAAAGTGCTTACCACAGTGCCTGGTAGGGAGCAATCACTTAGCACATGAGCTGCCTACCTATACAGATTCCATGCAGCCCATTGCCTCCTGCCTACCGTTGACAGCTCAGACAGTCCTAGGGGAAGTAAAACTCTAAGTTTCTAAACCAGGGAAGATAGTGTCCACATAGAGGACATCTGGGAATAGGGAAAGCGCCCTTGTGATTGTCCCATGATGGGGGGGAGGGGCTCTGGTGGCATTTAGTTGGCAAATAAGCCCGGTACCTGGAGATATGTATGACAGTCCTCTAGACCAAATAGTTGTCCCATCCAAAATAATATCCCCCCTTACCGAGAAACACTGGAGCAGCTGAAGGGAAAAACCATGATGGCAATGTTGTACCTCATACTGTCTTTAATGAAGCTAAAAAAATTGGTTATTTTCAAATTTGTTTCTATACTTGCTCATTTCCCCCTCAATTAGACACCAGGGGCTTCTTGGCAAGTGTTAATGGGGAATTAGAAGGCAGTGCCCAGAGGTGCCTGGGGGGCTCAGTCAGTTAAGCATCTGACTCTTGATCTTAGGGTTATGAGTTCAGAAAAAAAAGAAGAAGAAGGGGCACCTGGGTGGCTCAGTGGGTTAAGCCTCTGCCTTCGGCTCAGGTCGTGATCCCGGGGTCCTGGGATTGAGTCCCACATCAGGCTCCTTGCTCAGCAGGGAGCCTGCTTCCTTTCCTCTCTCTCTGCCTGCCTCTCTGCCTGCTTGTGATCTCTCTCTGTCAAATAAATAAATAAAAATCTTTTAAATAAATAAATAAATAAATAAGAAGAAGAAGAAGAAGGCAGTGCCCAGAGACAGCTCCTCCGACCTGAAGTTCCTTCCTCCATAGGAATTCATGATTGCTTTTGGGAGTTCCACAAACCTCCTCTGTGATTTTGCCTTACTTAGAGATGCACTAGAAGACATGGGCTAACCTCTCTGTTTTTGTTTTACAGCATAAAAATCCATGCCTTCTCATTTCCAAATACTTCATTAGCCTTTGTGCCTGGGGTGGGAATCAAGGCCCTGACCAACCACGGTACCGCCAACATCAGCACCGACTGGGAAGTCAAGTCTCCGCTCTTGTAAGTATTCCTCTCAAAGCTGCTGTGGCTGTTCTAGGGAGAAATGGAACGAAATTGAAAGTACATAATTTAGCTGGTGTTTTTGACATTGGGCTTCTTTCCCTCTGCCACTAACAGTCTTTCTCAAGAGCACCATTTTCCAGGAGAGATTTAAATCAGGATATCTCTGCTGGGGGCTGGGCAGGGGAGAGTGGGAGGCTGAGAAGCATCCTTCCCTTAAAGACAGAGCAAAGCGTCATTTAAGACTTCCTAAGAGCTGGGAGTCCCTGACCGTTGGAGCAACGGACATGCGCTCAACATTTTAGACCTTCAGTGAGTCACTGTGTGTTCTTGGGCCGTTCCACACACTTCCCCATCCTCGGGGCAACTGATGGGAAATGGGCCTTCCTACCTCACAAAGAGATTAGAGAATAATAGTCATCGGGAGCCCAATTCTCTCCCCACCAAAAGGCCTTTGCGCACTCTCAGAGAAAGGAGGGATCAAATTCAAGTCATACTCAAAGACCAATTACTGCGTGGAAGTCACGGTCATGGGGTAATGTTTAGGTCTACCCCGGTTAGTTCCCCAGAAAGCGCATCTACTCATCCACTTGGTCATTCAACAACCATTTATCGAGTGCCAACCAGGGACCATTTATTCCCATCTCAAGAACTCTACACTTATACACTGTAAAGAAATGGTATATTTATTCTCCCATAAGTAACATAGATTCAGGGATTCATTCATTTCTTTGCTGACTCATCAGCCACATATTAAAACGCTTATGCTCTGTGCTCCTCCTGGGGGTGTGGACATGAATAGCACACACTCCAGTCCCTCAAAGAGTTCACAGACTGCATCTAGTGTCCCGTCCCCATCTGTGCTCATCCTAAATAAGCCTACCCCATGTTCTCTGTCCACACAAGCATTGTACATGAATGGTGCTTAATACGTGCTCGGCCACTGTGGGGGCCAGAGCACCCAGGATAAAAATGCTAAGCTAAAGCTGTCCCCATCCCCATATTCATTACTTCCTTTGTTTGGTAAATGCTCAGCCCCTACTCTGCTCCTACCTGTTCTTGGTGACAGAGGTCCTTCCCTCCAGGAGCTTAGAGGCTGCGGGGAGTCAGAGAAATGACCCATCTCACCCCTGCCCAGCCCTGGGTAACCTTGCACTTTCTCTCAACAGCCAAGACACAGGAGGAGCTGATCTGTTTCTCTCTGGTGTCTTCTTCACCGGTATCATTGTCCTGGCCCGCAACGACTTTGGTCACCCAATCATGAAGCTCCAAGACTGTTACGCCCAAGTGAGCCACGCCCACGTGTCATTTTCCGGAGAACTCAAGTGAGCGATAGCATCATGCTGGGCAGTTGCTGGTCTGGAACCGGATTACCCGGCAGGGCCTGAGGAGGTTCACCACCGGCAGATTCGGTTCCTGAATAAGCCCGTTTTTTTCTCTTTTCTCCCCAGTGTCCTGTACAACTCCTTTGCTGAACCCATGGAGAAACCCATTTTAAAGAACTTAAATGAAATGGTAAGTCTTTAGAGGTGATGCTACCACAGTAAAATGCTCAGCAGTTCTGCCATGTTTTACCCAATTCTTCGTGAATAAACCTTTATTGAGCACCTCTTGTATGCCAGGCATCATCCAAGGCACTTTCTGACACATTAATCCCTTGCACCTTACTATGTTTCGCCAGTGCCCACCATGGGCCAGTGTGGTAGGTGCTGGGGACGCAGGGATGAATGAAACAGTATTCCCTCCCTCGAGTGCTCAGCACAGGATGGGCAGACAACCCACAGGCGTTTATTTATTGCGCACCAACTGTGTGCCCAGCAAGAGGCTACAGGCTGTTGGAGATATAAAATAGGAATAAATTTATTATGTTTTTAGGTAAACCCAACTCAGGCTGTGGAACAATGACTAAATGAGTATTTGAATTTAATACGTAATTACATGATCATTAGACTGAACCAGAGGTGTTCAGGGAAGTAGAAAGATTCAGTCAAAAGGGCCTGAAAGTCTCCTAGGGGATAGTTTTTAGAGGACGCAGGACTTGAACTGGGCCTTGAAGAATAAGTACAATTTTGACACGTAAGGAATGGGAGAGAAGAAAGGATTTTCCAAGAAACTGTATCGGTTAAGATAACTTCCAAAGTGACAAGTGTCTCGATTCCAGAATGTGGTGTTTGAGGAAGGCGAGAGACGGAATTGGCTGTGTGCCCTCTTTCCAGTCCAGGCCAGACCATTTCTGGACGCTTTACCCATATCTGGGGGCAGACGAGGAGAAGGATGAGGAGGATGGGAAATGAGAGGATGGAAATGAGAGGATGGAAGCCTCCATCCCCTCCTCCCTGGCAGGCAGTAGGTGCTCGATGAATGTCAACGAGGAAATCAACGTGCAAATGCATTCCGCAGCTTGTCCGAGGAGCTTGCCCAGCTGGTCGGGGCACTCCAAAGTTGCCCGGGCTTTCTCCAGGCTCAACTGGCAGGTGCTGAGCGCGAGCGCATGGGCATGCCAGAGAGTGACAGGGAAAGCCCTGTCGGCTTGGGGACCCCACACTTGCCATCGCTCCTCTGCTGGAAACCAGGCGTGGTCCTCTGGCCTCAGACAGGAAGCCACTAGCTAAGTTTCCCTGGAGTGTGTGTAGGCCTTAGAGCCATGGGTGCTTTGCTTCCAGTAGTCCCTCTGTGCCACGGGCAAACAGAGAAGAGCACTCAGACCACAGCTAGCTGGATTCCAAGTCCCAGTTATGTAACCCCTGGCAACCCACTAAAGCTCTCCAGACATCGTTGTTCCCATCTGTGAAGGGCGGACCGTGGTGCCCACCTCTCAGCACTGCCATGAGGCCAAAATGGGGTTCAAGCAGCACAGCTGACATTTATTGAGTGCTTGCTGTGTGCCGGGCGGCCGTACATGAATTCCTTCTGTTTCTGCTCACAACTCATGACGAAGTAGGTACAATTATCGTCCCCGTGTTGCAAGTGAGGAAACTAAAACCAGACTACAAATCGCGTGCCAAGGGAGTCAACCCGAGGCGGCCAGGCTCCCAAGCCTCTGCTAGTAACCGCCACACTGAGTGCTTAGCACACGCCTGGCACACGGTGGCCCACCCATGTTTGCACTCTATCTCCTTCCTAGAGACAAGCTCGAGTCCAAGTCAAGATCGCTTTTCTAACTCCAAAAGGGGTTCTGATCTAACAGATGTCTCACAACTGGGCTCTCAAGCCAGCCGAGTGGGACAGTGAGGGCCCCAGCTTGCGCCCAGAGGCAGTGGCGTCCCCACAGCCGGGAAAGTCCCACTAGCAGGTCCTCAGGGGTGACCGCACAAGAAAGAGAATCCAGGGGCTCATTCTTTCACGGGGCTGACTGGGTGTGGTCCCGGTTACTCCCAAGTTTAGCCCGCATTCCATGACGTGCCACACATACACACAAGTGTGGGGTCCACAGGCATCAGTGAATTTGAGGGAAGGTCCTGGTGGCCAAAGGGAGAATGGCTCCTAACCAGAAGGACTTGGCTGGCAGAGTCCAGACCCCTAAATAGTGCAAGGTGGTAACCCGCAATTTTTTTATTCCTTTTATGGCCAGCTCTGTCCCATTATCATGAGTGAGGTGGGAGCCCTGAACGCCAACCTCAGCATGCTGGAGGGTGAGTCCTCAGGCTGCCTCTTCGGGACAGCCCTCTTCCCGCCTTCAGACTCTGGTGCTCTGCCGGCTGGCTTTTCAACGTAAGATAGGCCACTCTCCTACCTGCTTTACCCTCTGCAAACTAAAGCCACGGGAAACGCCCGCTCTCACACGAAATCCATCCTCTTCAGGATGATTCATGCTAATCTCAACCAAGTTAGCCCCTTCCTCCCCCTGTTCTAGCCCCTTCGGTGGCTGCTTTGCTGCCTCAGGATCAAGTCCAAATGCTTTCACATGGACTACAAGACCTGCCCCCCGTGCTCGGGCTCAGCCCACCCCTCTCAGCCTCATCTTGTCCCTTTCTCTGCTCCAGCGATCAAACTGCTTCTACTGCCCCCACGCCCCTTGCTGGGCTCATGCTGCCCTCCCTGCCTAGCAGAGCTTCCCCTCCCCCCACATTTATTCAAATAGATGTATATTGAATTCCTATTTCTTTACCAGCACTGCGTTAAACCCTGGGGGGTCCAGGCCCTTCTGCTTCTTACCCCTGCACCATCCCTTGTCCTGTCCACTCCTCATTATCATTTAAAATGGGCAGGTCCTGCTCCCCTCACAGCATGTGATGGGATTGTTCAGACTGAATTTGAAAGCATTTTAAAAATGATAGTGACATGGGGCAGTACTGTTCCCTCACCTTGGCAAGTCCCTTTGTCTCTTCTTGTTGCTTACCACCCTCTGTGGAATAAAGCAGCCTGGTGTGTAAGAGGAGAAGGTGTGCTACTCAGATGTTTTGCTCTAGATCAGGGGGAGGTCTTCATATCACAGAGCACGTGGTGCTGGCCAGGAAAGCTGCTCTCCCAGGCCGGGTCAGACTCCCAAGCACTGCACTCCTGAGCATACAACCTGCCTCAGACTCTGAAATCATGCCTCCTGCGGCCCCTAGCCTCCTGCTGTGCTCTGAAAATGATGATACAAAGAATGAATTGGGGCGCCTGGGTGGCTCAGTGGGTTAAGCCTCTGCCTTCAGCTTGGGTCATGATTCCGCCTCTCTGCCTACTTGTGATCTCTCTCTGTCAAATAAATAAATAAAATCTTTAAAAAAAGGGGGGGGGTTTACTTTCTTCTTTTGACTTACCTACTTATCCCAGGTTTTGAAAAGTGAGCATGTATTACTTACGAAATAAGAATAATTATTATTTTAAATAACAGAGAATTAAAATTATATTGCTCTGCATAGATAATAGTCAGATGCTATACTATACCTTTAATAAATATGAATTTTCATTTTTATTTGTTATTTAGTTTTAACCAAGATTGACAACTATACTCTCCTGGACTACTCCCTAATCCATTCTCCAGAGATAACTGAGAATTACATGGAGCTGAATTTGAAGGTAACTTTATCGTCACCAAATTCTCATCCCGGCTATCAACAGCCAGTATTCGAAGAGCAAATATTCTATGCAGAAGGAAATATCACTAAATACCCTTTAAATAATTTAATGTCCTTTCAAGCAATTCCCTCATGCTTGTGTTCTTTCGAAAGACCCTTCAGCAGTTTCTTGATTGGTAAATAATGGTTTGGATTTGCCCAACGTACGACTTCCTCCTCAAGGAAAGTATCATGATGACTATGTCTGTGGGGTCAGGTCTGAGGCTAAGAGGCAGCAGGAAGAGGGGCTCTACATGTATTAGAACTCAACCCATCAGCAGATTGTTCATACGGACACTCCTGTTCCTGTCTGGTCAGCCGGTTTCACTGAGGGCTGTCGACCTCTTGACCTTGGTCAGGGCCGTTTGCACATGAAAATGGTATTTGCTGATTCTGGAAAAGAGATTGTCTTTATGTTTAGTTTTGCCCCATGGTTAGTAACCGTGGTTTTTTGTTTTTTGTTTTTTGTTTTTGTTTTTTTGAAGTGCATATTGACTTATATTTCTTTTTTTTTTTTAAGATTTTATTTATTTAGGGGCTCCTGGGTAGCTCAGTTATTAAGCATTTGCTTTTGGCCCAGGTCATGATCCTAGGGTCCTGGGATCCAGCCCCACATCAGGTTCCCTGCTCAGTGGGAAGCCTCCTTCTCCCTCCCCCTCTGCCTGCTGCTCCCCCTGCTGTGCTCTCTCTGTCAAATCTTTTTTTTAAAAAGATTTTATTTATTTATTTATTAGAGAAAGACAGCGAGCATGAGCTGGGGGGAGGGGGGGTGGAGATGGAGAAGCAGACTCTCTGCTGAGCAGGGAGCCCAGATGGATGCGGGGCTCAATCCCAGGACTCTGGGATCATGACCTGAGCCAAAGGCAGACACTTAACCGACTGAGCCACCCGGGCGTCCCTGACTTATATTTCAATCACTTAGAGTCTTTCAAATCAGTTAAATGTTACTCAAGACATCTTGTAATAACATCCTATAGCCACTGAGGGCAGCATCAGGAATGCGTAGGAAATGCTTTAACCCACTGAGAGTCCCGGGTCCTTCTGAGGCTTTCTGTGCCACCCCAGAGGCTCAGCAGCCACAGAGTTCAAAGGTCAAGGGTTTGGCATCTCTACGTGCCCCTCAGGAACTATGCAGAGCTGTGTGTCCAGGTAAAATACACCTGCCTTCTGAGAGAAGGTTACACCCCAGAGTGGACAGACACGTCCACATACGCTCAAGAACTCATCAGAGCTGCCAGACCATCGTCACTGGTCAAGGAGTCAGAAGGCCCTGTTGTGTTTTAACCCCTACTGAGTTTCTGGTATTTTTCTGATTCTGATTGAACAGATCCACCTTCTCAGTGCTGTACACCCGAGTCTTGACCTGATACCCTGATCTTTCTCTCTGTTTTCCCACAGGGCGTATTCTACCCCCTGGACAACCTCAGCGACCCCCCCTTCTCACCAGTTCCTTTTGCACTGCCAGAACGCCATGACTCTATGCTCTATATTGGAATCTCCGAGTTTTTCTTCAAATCTGCATCCTTTGCCTACTTTACAGCTGGGGCCTTCAATGTCACTCTCTCCATGAAAGAGGTAAGGAGAGTTCATGGATAGAACAATCAGCACCAGCATTTCGTCTTATTTTAAGTAGCCCATTATGGGAATTTTATGTCACGGTTTCTATCTCCTGGGCCCTCTTAGACTATCAACCCTAGCAGGTCATGAATAAAGGGATTGTGAACTGAAAGCTTTTAGTATCTTGGGAATTGTTGGGTTTCTAAGTCTGCTAATTTCAGTTGTGTAGGATACCAGGCCACTGTTCTAGATTAATCTTAAATAATGCCAGGACTCCCCTCCACCACTTATGACCTGTAAATTTGGGCATCTTCAATGTATTTAACTTCTCTGTGCCAGAGTGTCATCATTTAGAAAATGGGAATAATAATTCCATACTCATAAGGTCGATATGGACATTAGAGAGGTTTAAATATACGGAAAGCATTCATGCCTAGCATGGAGGAAGTGTTCTTAATGTGTTGCTTACCATCATCATCATCACCATGCCTGGTTTAATGCCAGCACCAATATTTCTCCTGTTGGTAATTGCAACTGAGTTATCTACAATGACCACTAAAAGGACACATACTCGTGGATTCTCTTTGCCATGCCCCTCCCTTTCATGATGAGAACATTCTCTTCAGCCAACCAACAACTTTTATTAAGCATCCCCTATTAATCTTTTCATTCCATGGGTCTTAATTATACAAGTGGTTCTAAAACTTGGGTTCAAAATACCAGGTATGGCAGCACCAGTGACCACAGACTGCCGAGAATTAGAGAAACCTAGCTTCAGATTTGGAAAACATTCATTTGTGAAGATAAATGACTTAAGTATCCTTTGTCTCAGCAACCTCTGAAGAGGTGGGCAATATATCCAAGGGTTCTTGTTAACCACTGTAGGATGGTTATGCATGGATCGTACGTGTGTGCCCTACACAGTGTAGCCAAGGTTAAAAGGCACTTACCGAAAAGGAAGGTACTTCCTGTGTGACCTTGGGCAAGTGACTTCACTTCTTTGAGCCTCAGACTTCCTATGGTTGGGCTATTAAATGATAGGCCACTATTAAACACTAATTGTTTGTTGATGTAACAACTTCATGATTCATAAAAATATAAGGAAAGCTAGGTTTTCCCCTGAAAAGAGAACCCAGGTAAAAATCTTACAATAACATGATGATCTTGATTTTCCAGATTTCCAGCCATCTGGTTCAAAACTCTCAAGGCCTTGGCAATGTGCTCTCCCGGGTGAGTACTGAGGGTCTGACTCCTTGGTAGTGTATCTGGATTCACGGCAGTTACTTGTGGAAGATTTGTGGGTTCTCTCTATTCCTTTTTGGTCCAAACCTGAGTCTATCTTTCCATTCTGAAGAGATTTTTTTTTTCTTTTTTCGGTAAGATTTATTTATTTTAGAGAGAGTGAGCATAAGTGGCAGGGGAAGGGCAGAGGGAGAGTCTTTTTTTTTTTTTTTAAAGATTTTATTTATTTATTTGACACACAGAGAAATCACAAGCAGGCAGAGAGTGCAGAGCAGAGAGCCCGATACGGGACTCAATCCCAGGACCCTGAGATCATGACCTGAGCCAAAGGCAGAGGCTTAACCCACTGAGCCACCCAGGCGCCCCCAGAGGGAGAGTCTTAAGCAGACTTGGCGATGAGAGCCAGCCCGATGCAGGGCTTGACCTCACCACCCTGAGATCTCAACCTGAGCCAAAACCAAGAGTCAGATGTCTGACTAGCTCTGCACCTGGGGGCCCTCAGATTTTTTTTTTCTTTTAATAAAATAGCCACAGATATTTACTAAACAAGTTACTGTTAAAGGCATCATAAGTTTACAAAACAAATCAACGGTCCCTCCCTAAGTTTCCACCACACATTTGAATTAATAAGCTTCTGTGGGAAATGGGGGAATAGTGCCCATGTCTGTGCCTTTAGTGAAGCAACTCTTAATGTCATGCCTTCTCGGCCCCTGAATATTGGACACAGTGTCCTGAAAGGCTCAGATTTGCTCTTGAGGACAGAGAGATGCTCACCGAGCTTCCTAATTCTAGAGCAAGGACCTGGAGACACACTTAGATTTGAATCCCTGTTCTTTAATGTATCCATCTGGAAGTGAAGGAGATTATTTAACCAGAGGCTCACTGTCTTCAGCTGTGAAATGGGGATTCTGATAGAACCCACCCACAGGGATTTTGTGAAGATTAAACCAGACAATTCAGATAAGCTCAGTGAATGTCAGCCGTTGTTATTATTTGTCTTGTGTATGGTGGTGGTATAATTGCCGAAGAGCTTTGTTTCTATTCTGACTGCATGATGTAAAGTTTAATCACCCAGGCCACCCCAAACGTGTGATTTCCCGTCACCTCAGCTCCCCGCTCTCCACTTCTTTCCTTGAACTTTGCAGATCGCAGAGATCTACATCCTGTCCCAGCCCTTCATGGTACGGGTCATGGCAACGGAGCCTCCTGCAGTCAATCTGCTGCCGGGCAACTTCACCCTGGACATCCCTGCCTCCATCGTGCTCCTCGCCCAGACCGAGAACTCAACTGTGGAAACCATCGTGTCCATGGACTTTGTAAGGCCTGTGGGGGCAGGAGGGCGGCCTGGGGAGACCCGTTCCATTCCCACAGTGGGCCACTGACCAGCAGCGCTCTGCTCGGTGTCTGGGGGTGTGAGGTCTGATTCGTCAGTTGGTGAGGACAGGGGTGGGACAGAGTGGGGGCGGTGGGGGGGCTGGTGCTCATACCCCCTCATGGTAAAACAGCTCTCCCCCTCCCCCACTCCCTATGTGCCCTTCCCTCAGCTGCAGTTACATTGATCGCTGACTTTCTTTTATTTTTCCCCAAAATAAGTCAGTGGAATTCAAGGTTATCTGAGCAGATGGAGGCCAAACGCAACCCAATGGAAAGGGACAAATACAGTGATTCTACACGAAATGTCACACACACACACACACACACACACACACATACACGTACACATACACGCACACACAGTACATGGAGAAGAGACAAGAGGAAAAAATAGAGTAATTTAAGGGAGATTCTTAAAAAGTCTTTATAGTTAGTTTCCCTGCCCACAAGAGAGCATTTTCAGATCTGCTTCTTCCCAGTATCTCTAGCAATAAGAGGGAAAGTGGAGCTTCTGGTATTTCCAGTATAAGAAATTGTATTTGCGGCCAAAATAGACAGACTCATTCCCCTTAGTAACGAACGCTTTTGTTGTCTGCAGGTTGCTAGCACCAGTGTTGGCCTGGTTATTTTGGGACAAAGACTGGTCTGCTCATTATCTCTGAACAGGTAAGTTTAATTGATTTGACTGTTGACAACCTTAGCAGTAAGTGATTCAGCAGACCACAGAAACAAAGCGAACTTTAACAGAACAGGGGAAGTTACCACCAGATAGAACATGAATCACTTAGGTACTCCTCTTGGCATGATCCTGATGACATCAGACTATGGGCTTCACTAAAACTTTGTTGTGGAGCCTTTCTCTCTCCTCCCATTAGATACTGTTCCAATAAAATGGGCAGCCGAAGTGTAAATATAATTCCATCATATAAATTCACTTTCTAATGGTACCATGATATAAATTAAAGACCCTCCTCAACAATTCCAGGAAGCGAGCTTTTGAGGAAGGAAGTCGAGGAACAAAGTGTCAAATCCCTGGTCACTAGTTGCTTAACCAGGAGCAAGTCTAGGAATCTCTTTGTGCCTCGGTCTCTTTGTCTGTAAAATACTGAAGTTGGGCTGGGTCGTCTCTGAGGTAGCTGCAGGCTCTGACACCCTGACCCCTTACTAGACCATAGAGTTTAACAAAACCACGCCCCACGGCCTAGCTGGTTCTCCAGAGAACGCCGCACGCTGTGGAAGGGGCCGGGCGGGTCATGTGGGTAGACTGTGGACAGTGATTGCCATTGAGAAGAACCGTCCGCAAAGCCCGTTTTCCTGGGCCCTGTGAGGCTGATAGTCGAAGCCATGAATGAGACTGCCTGGGGGGAGGGAGATGCTATTCCGAATGACCAGATGGCTCAGATGAAACCCACGGAGGGGGGAAGAAATGCTAAAAAAGGCCAGAGAAAGCAGAGTCGAGAAAGAACAGGAAACCAACAGAGGGGAAAAGTAAGTCAATCACCATAAGTCAGCGGATGGTTGTGAAGACTACTGCAGACACACAGAAGGTGCCCTCAACAAAGAGATATTAAATGGGACAAACAGAATGGAATACTGCACAAAGGCAGCAGTCAGCTGTGTAAAATAGCTTTCCATCTGGACAAGGAAGTGAATCACGAAGAGTGCCATTAGGAGTGCCATAGGATACGGGATTGAGTGAGATTTTTCCTCCTTAAAATTATCTTTGTAACGATACTGTTTTCCCAATAAAAGGAACAATGACAAAAAAAAAAAAAAAGAAAAGAAAAAAGAAAGGTAGTATGGTTTCCCAGAAAAAAAAAAAAGGTTTCAAGAAGGCTTCATTACTCTCTACCCAGCTCTACAACACGGGACTGATTTCCACATTAGTCTCAGCAGGCACAGAACCTAGAGCCCATGAATACTTTAGGGACCCATGAAAACGTTTTAGTGTATTTTTAAAATAATTAAAAAATGAATACAATCCAGGCTGGATTATACTTATCTTTATAACAACATAGTCTTAAAATACAATTTTTAGTATTTCTTTATGGAGGGAGGGCTCCCGAGGCAACAGTTGCCTCAGGGCCCCCGAAATCATACTGTGGCCCACCCTGCACAAGGTCAAGGCCGATGAAACTCTAAACCTTGATGGGTCATCTTGGAAATGACAGTTTTAACAGTTGAGAGGATGGAAGCCAGAGAGCAGGAGAGGAGGAGGGAAAGGGAGGCTGGTGAGAGATAGGCAGCATCAGAGCAAGGCCAGACGGGAAAGGAGAGAATTTGCAATGTAATTTGCCGGAGCAGCCCCACCACAAGCACCCCCCCATCTGCAGCCTGAGGACAGCGCTGATAGGAAAGGGGGGCTGGAAATCTGGAGGGAGGTGGGAGAAGGGAGGCAGGGCCTCTGACTGAGGCTGCAAGCTCTTGAGAAGGGAGAAACCACGTGCACCCTTGAGCAGGGCCCTGGTTCATGGGCAGGATGGAAGGAAGGACTTAGTGCGGGTGGGACTTCAGGCTTGCAGGCCAGTGGGAGAGACCTTAAGGAGCAGAGAGATTAGGTCCCCTTCTGAGCTTCCGCTGGGCGGACTCTCCTCTCCAGCGGTCCTCCCAGTAAGAAATGGCACGTTCAGAGGGTGTTAGGTTTATGTTCGAGAGTAACTGCAAAACTGATTGCAACCCACTCGGTTCACATCACCCAAAGAAACGCGCGGATCCATTCTCTGGCTTCCTACAGCCCACAAGCGTGCTTTGACCCAGTGAACACAAGCTGAGATTAAGACTCCTGCCTTCCTGGCGTCTCCTCCGCGTTCCCTGTGGTCTCCTTCAGATTCTCATGCTGGGGAGGTTTTCTGGGGCCTTAGTGGGGTCTGAGCAGGACTAGCTATCCAACTCGCAAGGCCCATTGTAAAATCAGAATGGGGAGCCCCTGGTTCAGAATCTTATGAAGAATTTAAAGATGGGGACAGCAGGGCCTTGAACCAAGCATGGGGCCCCTCTGAGCAAGGCCATGTCATGCTGCAAATGTCGCTGGGGTGGCTCCTGCTGGGGGTGCTATGGCGGATCTCGGGCAGCAGGAGGATGAAGGGTCAGGTGGATATGCCAGGCATCACTCAGTCCCAAGGCAGCCCGTGCGAGACCGCGGAGAAGCAGAGGCTGTGCTGAAGGGGTGCCTTCCCCGTGGCCGCAGGAATGGCTGCCCCACCTCCCTCACGACTGCCCCAGCCAGCAACCGCCACTCCCAGTTCCACAAGCACTGCTCTTCCAGACCTATGGCCTGCTGTGGTCTTGGGTGAGGTCAGAGAGGCACAGTGCGGAGAGGCGTAAAGGGGGGTGGGGATCAGTGAAGCATCCCCGAGAAAACCCTGGGAAAGGGGGTCTCCAAATTAGGCTCCCAGAATACTAACCCCCGAAACACTTTTCTAAACATCCCCTGCCTGAATGTGTCTCTTTCTGGAGCTGCTCACGGCTGGCTACAGAGACAGGAGATAGAGAAATCAAGGCAAATTCGGTGTGGTGAGTTTAAAGACGCCATGAGCTCACAGGCTTTAGAGTCAAGACTAGCTGGTTCAGATCCCCGCCCTGCCATTCATTAGCTGTGGGGCCTCAGGCAAGTTACTTAACCTCTCTGGGCCTCCATTTCCTTCTCTATAAAATGAGGCTATAATACAACCCACTTCAGGGGGTTACTGTAAGGAATACATGAGTTAATACATGTAAAGTGCGTGTTAAGTGTTCAGGAAGGTTGACTATGGCTATTACTTAAAATTTGGGGCTGGCCTCATCCCAGGGAAGAAGGTGCTCCATTATACAAGATCCTCAAAAGAGTTCCCCTCGTCAGAAAAACCCTGTTCAGGAAACACCTCATTCCCGTGTCTCCTACCCAGTGATGGTTATTAGAGAAAGTGCCTTTTGTCCTAGTATTTATGACTACTTTATTATTGAGTCTTTGCTGTCTTCTGGTCCCGTGCCAAGAACTTCACACATATCATTTCATTTAAACCGCACAACCCTGGATCTCCAGGACCTGGCACAGTCTTCAATCGACGTCTGTAGCTTCAGTGAACAGACCTGGAGGTCGCTCATTATCCCGGTTTTACATTTATAGAGGTCGACTAACTTGCTCACATCACAGAGCTATTGAATGACAGACCCAGAACTTGAACCTGGGTGAGTGGTTTTCACAGCCTTGGGTGTTCACTTATGACATTATACTGCCTTTGATGCGGAACATGGCCAAGACTTAGAAGACTGAGACGGTGAACACCCTTGCCCAGAAGAGGAAACCCATGAACGCGGAGTCACACGGAACTGAAGCAGGCAGCATGTCCTTTCTCAGTGTGAAGACTTGATAGAGGAAGAGAAGCCACAGGCAGAAGGTGATCTGCGGTAGAAAAAGCACACCGCCCTTTGCACACAGCCACCTTGAGAAATGAAGGGAAGGAGAAAATGAAAGCAAAAGCAGGGAGTACGAGTAATCAACGTGACCTCGGTGGGGACGTCTCATTACGAGCACAGCCCTGTAGTTAGTCGTTTCTGATTTTGAATTCCACCTCCGTCGCTTGGTAGCCGTGTGACCCTGGACAAGTCAATCAACCTCTTTAAATACCAGTTTCCTCATCAGCAAAACAGGGCACCTATTCACAGAGCTGTTTTATGGGGAGACGAGGTAATGTCTGAAAAGCACGATGTTCTGCATGTAATCGGTGCTCAAGAAATATTAGTTACCACCAGCAGTAGAGTTTTATTTTCTTTCCCCTTTTTGGGATCAAACTTTAACCAAATAAGAGGGAGAAATTGATCCCAAGAGACATGACAGGTCAGGATGGCCTTAAAAGCCTTAGAGTTGGCCCTCAGAGTCCTAAACCGGATTCGTACTGGTCTATCCACAATGGAGACTTTTGTTCCAAACACAGCTCCGTCGGGAGGTAACCCCAGTGCGGGCTGATCCATATACTAGACGTTTCTGAGACCAAATTAAGTAATACTTTCCCTTTTTTCGTCGCCATACAGATGACTGAATTTTAACCCCCCCTTTTTTTATTTTTTAAAGATTTTATTTATTTGAGAGAGAGAGCACGAGCAGAGAGGAGGAACAGAGGGAGAGGGAGAAGCAGACTCCTGGCTGAGCAGAGCCGGATGTGGGGTTCAAATCTCAGGACCCTGGGATCACGACCTGAGCTGAAGGCAGACACTTAACTGACTGAGCCACCCAGACGCCCCTTTAAGCTTACAAAGCTCAAGGCAATCCAATATACAGTATCGTTGGGCCATTTAGAACTCTGGAACAATTTTGACATTGCCACAAGTGAGGCATCGGACACTCCCAAACTGCGCCCCACACCAGTGACATCAGCACGCGTGCGCTTGCACACACACACACACACACACACACACTCACACTCTACAACCCCTCCCAGGCAACACCCTCAGAGAATGCAAAGAGAGCTGACTACAAGCACATACAAACCCCACCCAGCCCTACTCCACGCAGCTTGGGCGATAAGCATTTCCCAACGTGAGCCCTCTGGAAAGAAACCCAGAAAGGAAAACAGGTCTGGGAAGAACCGCTTCAGTTTCTGTCAGAACGGTGCTTTAGACAGGTCATCAGAGCTCGGGCTTTGCCCCCGAGCTGACCGCCATCTCCACCCTCCCTCTGAGCTCCCGTG